ACTGAATAATATGTACATAATCAAGTAGATAATGGAGGCAATTATCCAGATAATTTAAGTTTCACAAAAATCCTTTGAAACAACTCAATAAGCATGGCCAAAGCAATGGGGAGAGGAGGGAGGCTGAATTAGAACTTGAATAATTGTCTCAATTATTCATGCTGCATGTAGACAAAGATGCTGGAAAGACAGTAAAGTAGAAACATTCCTGGATTTAGAACCAGAAGACCTGCATTTAAGTTTCAGCTTCTCCATGTGAGTGGCCCTGAGCAAATCACTTAATATCTCAGCCTCAGTTTCCTCTTTTGTAAATAAAGATAATAATACTTACAACTTTCTACTTTCAATAATTTTAACTTCAAGTAACATTTATTATGTGTATACTGTGTGCAGAATAATGCGCTTGGCACTAAAGGAAATGCAAGGATTAACTAAGACACAGTCCCTTGATGGTGGCAGTGGTAGTAGTGGTGGTGGTAGCAGAAGTCTTGTATGCGGAGACATAATATTGGGCTTAGGGGATTGGAGCTTTAGCTTAGGTCACCAGCACAGGGGGTGAGGAAGGTGCTCCCTTTCTATGCTGACCACTTCCAGGGTGCCTCATGGTTTTCCTATTGGCTCATGCCACTGTTCAGTGGCTTACACCACCAAGATTTTCCTATGATATCCTTCTCCTGGTACTGGCCTTTCCTCCCAAATTCTTAGAGGCGTAAGGGTTAAATTCTTTGGGAAATGGGCCAGCCCCTTTCCCAGTCCACCTACAATTGTGGTTGGACCATGTGCAGCAACGTTGCTAGCCCACATACCTCACTCAAATCAAATTTGCCAGAGGGGTTTGGATTCCTAGTTCAAATACTGAGATACTCAAGTAATTTCAATACAAAAATATATGATAAGTATGTAAGAAACTACAGTGTTATGTGTGCTCTAAGAGGGAAAGATCATTATGAACCACAGGATTCAGGAAAAGCTTCATAGGAGAGGTGGTAGCACTAAAGTAGAACATTAAAAGAGGACTAGGATGTCAACAGACAAAGATGGGGGATGGTGGTGTGGGGCGGGAGGCTATTCTGAACAGTGTGAATGAAATTACGGGACAAGCACCATGGAGAGTGAACAGCTCAGTTAGGCTGAAGCATCAGATTGTGAAAGTCCTTGAACACCAAGATACATAGTCTGAACACAGGGCTGATGAAGAGATAATGAATGTCACGCAGTTTGTAACCACAAAATGCTATATAAACACCAACAGGGATGATAACATGTTTAAAATAGGATTAAAAAAATAAATTTATATAGATAACAAACAAACCAACCTCAATTGTCTAAGTTGAGCTAAACTACTGTAGTAACACTCCTTCCAGACTTTTGTCAACTCACATCTTCTTGACTAGTAGTCTCCAAAGTGAAGGTCATGGTCTTATCCTATGGAGGGACCATTGCCTGACCCCAAGGCATATGTGATCAAACATCTGAAGGTAGGAAGCCAACTTGCATTCCATTCTTTCTTTGATAGACATTTGTGGAGCTTGCCTCCAACACAACTTACAACAACAGTTATGCCCCTATAAGTACCTTCTCCCCAATTTCCTTTCCTGTGAGAGCTCACAAGCACTTTCCTTCTGAGATGAGTGTGAGTCTCCAGCTGACAACTGCTGTTTGGTGGCAATGTCCAGTGAATAAGACAACCCTCCTCTCCTTCCTTGCTTTTTTGTTTTGGTTAGGACGGAGTGATTCACACGGGATGTGCCATTATCTTTCTCCACAAACCTGTTCATCTTCCAAACTTGCCATCATCGTCAAGGCCTCCAACATCCTTCTAGGGACCTGGGTTTCGGTAAGTTCAAGCTCATCTCTGACTCCTTGTCTCTCTTCACCCCACATCCACCTATTTAATCCCTGGCCAAATCCTGATGGTTCGCAATTCCCACATCTATCCCTTTTTCTACTCACACAGCTCCCACTCCAATTCAGGCCCTTACCACTTGTCACCTTACCTACTGCACTTATCTCCCAAGTGGTCTTCCTGTCTCAATTCCCTACCTCCTGAAGCCCACTCTGCACACAGCTGCCAAGGAAAACACAAACACAAATCTGTTGATGTCACTCCTCTATTGAATAAATGCCAATGACTCCCAATTTGATTCTTAGAATCAAATTTTTTTCATCTTTATCTCATTCTATTTTTAGTTTTTCATTTTATGATGTGCATAATTAATAGTATGGCAGAATATGCGTATAACTTATAGAAGGGGGATAGGAAATAGACCTGTGATTTCACTGGCATAGGGAACTCCTCAAACTATCTCTACCAGTATAGGTTGGGGCATACAGCCTTAGAGAGTTCTCTGTGCAGGGCTTCTTAAACTTTTTCCACTCGGACCCCCTTTTGCATTTTGGCAGCTGTTAGCTGGTGCTGAGTGGCCCTGAGGACATGCACAGTGCAAAGTGCACATGCTGTGTGTTCAGAACCGAGACTGCAGTGAAGATGCCGGATGCAACACAGGCAAGCAGTGCCAGAAACACCTCAGATGCATTATGCATTTGATTTTTAATTAATTTTTGGTCATTGCGCATTCAGAAACCTTTTACTGTTGCCAAATTTTTCACAACCTCATATGGGGTCGCAACCCATAGTTTAAGAAGCATTGCATAGCAATGAGAGAGATTCAGCACACGACACGTCCAATATGTATCAGATTCAGGATCTGAACACAGGCCATCCTATCTCTAAGGCTGTCTCTCTATCCAGTATTCTATGCTATTTGTCTATCTGTCTAAAGTATGTGTATATATGTATAGATTAGATAGATTTTTTTTAAATTATTAGGATTAGGGTTATTAGAGTTAGAGTTATATATGGTTAATCTTAGCATTATTTTGTATAAATAAATATACATATATTGGGGATACGTGCTCAAAAATATTTTTCTAATAAGGCTATACAATCAGAAGTCTGGAGACCACTCCTCTAGAGCACAGTTATGAAATGGAAAACTTATTATGTGCATAAAGTCTAAAGAAGACAAATGTGATTTACCTGAATTATTCAAAATCACAGAGATCTCTACAATAAAGTTACTTAAGGTCCCATGCACTGTACTATCATACTCATTCCTAATGACAAAAAGGATGTAGATCCCATACAAGACTTCTAGTTTAAAAAAAAATGCAGGTATAGTTTTTCAACAATCAGAAACTATAATAAAGACAGGTAGAATTAAATTCTGCTTTTCTTCAAAAGGAAAATATCTTTTGCTGAATTTTAAATATTTTCCTTGGATAATCATTTTCAGTAGTCCTAGAAGTTAATGATAATAACTGTAATAACACTGCTAAGTTAATTAACTAATGGTTAAGTCCTTTGGGAAATGTCAATGCAGCTGTGGCCTGTTCCCTAAAAAAATCCTTGATTTATAAAAATCTGGACTCAGAAACCAGACAAATCATGTTGATTATTCTCTCCAAAAAAATAAAAATGAAAAATCCCCAGAGATCCCTTATGAGTTTCTCTAATATGTTTAAAATAGGATTTGCTTTATTTTTTAAATGAAATTTACATGCAAATATTCAAAAACATCTATTTTATGAAATAAAATACATCAGTATAATACCATTCATTACACTCATTGAAGGGTCAAGCTTCCAGCAACCAACAGCTACAAAGTGAGAAGTCAGTAAATAAAGTGCCTGGCCATGTAAAATAGGTATCATAAAATTCCGGTACCAAAGTCATACATTTTACTCCTGAGGCTCTAAAAAATTGTTGTAATTGACTCTTATTTAACATACTGCTCTAACAGACTTGGTTATCTTGCTTCCCAGGGGATAAAAGATTAAAGCAGCAAAGGAGAATGAGAAATATTTCTCATTCTCTCATGTTAGAAAAATGGGGAGGGGGTGGGGTGTTGTATCTGAATCCTTGCAGATGAAAATGTGCATTTGTTAAGGAATGAAAAAGAACAGAACCATCATATGGCTAGAATTGATGAGTGACCTCTTTACTACCGTGCAGGGATTCGGTGTTGGGATCACTTCAAGTTGGCCGTGGACCAAGAAACTGACCACAGTTCCTTGGAGTCATACTCAAAGGTTTTACTGCTTGTTAGACCCTGCAAAAACTTGTGCTCTACTGACATATTCTTTGAGAAGCCAGGGTCACCTTCATGCTACAATGAAGCAGGAAAGATCTTTAAAGGAGGATTGACAACGATAGCAGCATTTAATTAATTATTCAAGTAGAATCTGATACTAATAAAATAACACATGAAACAACCTGCTCCCAGGCTCCTCATGACAAAATTACTACCTAATCACCTATCAAAACATCTTTGAAAGAATAACCCCTTCAGTCCTAGCATGAAGGGTTCTTAACCTGGGGTCTTTGAATTTTAAAAATGTTCGTATGTTTTGACAATGATATTTCAATCTAATTGGTTTCCTTTGTAATCCTACATATTTTATTTTATGCATTCAGAAATATTCTGAGAAGGGGTCCACAGATTTCATTGGACTGCCCAAGGGGCCCATGATGCAACAGAGGTCTTGTTCTCATGAAGTCATGAGAAGCAGCCTGGAAGTCTTGGAATCATAAATACTGGAGTTCAAATGCCACCTCAGGCATATAATTTTTCCAGGTCTGAGTAGCCCTATCTACAACAAGAGGGGGTTGGACTCAATGTCCTCGAAGATCCCATCTAGCTCTAAATCTGTTATCCTACAATGATCCAATCTCTCTGTTTGATGAATGATGTGATGGTGATAATAGCAGCTTCCACTTTTGGACAGATTGGGAAGCTTTTTTACTCATATCAAAAGTTGGAAATTGCCTCTCTGAACCTACATTCATTGGCCTTCTTTATATAGGTATCTTATGTTGGAAAAACCTACCTGACAAAATTAAATAGTCATTTGAATGAGGAGGCTATTTCTTAAACTGATTTATCACTTGAAACATCAAACAAGTCAAAATGAGTAAAAAATAAACACAAATAACTCACGGTCCACTTCCAGAAGGGCACGGACAGATTTAGCAAGCTCCCTGGATTCCTGGACCAGGTTTGCTGTGACATTGCGTCCATTCCTTCCAAGTTGTGGGAACAGCGTTTGAGAACCTAACACCGATCTTCGGTCACTAAAGTGCATGAGGAGGGAAAAGGAGGGATAGAAAATAAAATAGAATTATTTTTCTAAATCATGGGAACTAATATTCCTCTTATTAAAAAGGACAGCAATTAGTCTGTCCTAAAAAACAGTACTCTTGGTTGGTGAGAATCCATTCCTGGTATTATATTGAAAGATTCTAAGAATGCTGGGGCACCATCATTTGTCACTTTTTAAGTAGATCTCTGATTTCATTGGCGCAGGAAACTCCCAGTGAAAAAAGCACCACTTTAACAATGCAGACAATAATAATGATGATGATGATGATGATGATGATGGTGATAAATGTGTACACATCAATTACCATGTGCCAGGCACTGTGCTAAGTATTTTACAATTATTATCTCATTTTATCCTTACAGCAACCCTGGGAAGTGGGTGCTATTATCATTCCCATTTTGCAGTTGAGAAAACTGAGGCATATAGAGGTTAAGTAACTTGCCCAGGGTCACACTGCCAGCACGTGTCAGAGGCAAGGCTAGAATCCAAATTCTTATCTCTGAGGCAGGCTCTCTATCCTCTATGCTACACTGTCTCTTGTTTTAGTTTAAATGATGTATTATTAATCGTAAAATGCCATTTGTTAACGTAGTTCTTTAAGGTTTAGAAGGGTGTTCTGCTTTCAGTTACATAAAATATTTCTGTTAAAATAAATTTATGAAAATATTTAGTATACTTTTACTAATAATGATGGCAATAAGTAGAAAGTGAAAGGATGACGTAATGAATGCAGCCTGATTCACTTGAGTGTACAGTTTTACTGGAGAGAAAAATTATGCTATGATTTAGAAAAGGACACTCGATTTTAATTGATGATAAAACAGTGACTGTTTATGTGTATCCCATCTTCATATGCATGAAGTTGTTGCTAAAGCAGATAGTATTTAAGTCATTCATTTTTATCTTATTTTTTTTAACCAAAGCAGGAAGTTCATTAGAAACTCCAGGATAGGATACTCCTGGGAAGGAAACTCCCTCCATCAATGCAGATGGGCTATTGCTCTACAATTTAAGTTTCCTGGTACACTGAGAGGTGCCCAGAATTACAAAGGCAGAAAGAGACACAGAGGCATAACCTGATCCCCTGTCTTCCTGGCTCTAAGCATGGAAGTCTGTTCAATATATCACACTGCTTCTTAAGTCATTCATTTTGTAAGTTTGGTCTTTTTTAGAGGCAATCAGGGTTAAGTGACTTGCCCAGGGTCGCACAGTGTCTGAGGCTACATTTGAACTCAGTCGTCTAGGTTCCAGGACAGATACTGTAACTACTGCACTACCTAGCTGCTCCTTATTTTGTTATTTAATGAAATTTTAAATTATACTAACATTATTTCCTACTGGAGTGACCTCAAGCAAAACACTTAACCTTCTCTTGCCTCAGTTTCTTTACTTATAAAATGAGGAAGTTGGATTACCTGGCCTCTCCTGCTAGATTTATGAACATGAAATGTTCCTGTGGCTTTATTTTATTTCTAAAAATTTAAATCTTACTTTGTATAGGTATTGCACAGAAATACAGTGGCCTGAAGCCTGACAAATCATGTACACATCATTCATAAAATAGTCTCCAAAAGGGTCCAAATTGTCAGCCAAATTTAAAACACTTTAAAGCATTTACTTTTCTTTTTAAAAATTAACTTCTGTGTGACTTGAATGCAACCTGATACACTTAAGAAAGGACAAAGTCTTAGTGGAGAAAAAAAGTTAAGCAAAATACCTAGAAAGGGATACAATATTGAATTGTGGATAAAGTGGTGATTGTTTATGGACTTGTTATCTCCCATGCATTGAGCAGTTATCAGAGCCTACAGGAGGATGCAGTGCAACAAACATGGAACCACTTATCAGAAGTTCAGGGGATCTGGAGTCCCACTCCTGCCACTAGTAACTGTGTGACCATGGGTAAGTCACAAATGTTCAGTGCCTTGGTTCCTCAAATGTAAAGATACAGATTTTACTTGTACCACATATTTTACAGCAAGGATTCATAATTCAAATTCTCTTTTTCCCCCAACATGATACTGGATCAAACAGAACGATGGGTGCTTTGTAACTGTAATGCATCACATAAGAGTAAATTATGATAATTAACAGTGAGCCTCGAAGAATTAAATGCCAGCAGTTTGCTAATTCAAGTACCATAGGTGGTCTTCATCTTTGTTTTCCTTATGGAATTTCTAAGACTGTCTACACTAGATAGAATGCTAGGCTTGGAGTCAGGAGGACCTGAGTTCAAATCTTGTCTTGGACACTAACTGTGGCTCTGGGCAAGTCAAACAGCATCTCTGGCTTTGGTTTTCTTACATACGAAATGAGGGAGCTAGACACGACGGCCTTTATATCCCTCCCAGCTCTGAATGTATGATCATTTATGAGTCTATGACTTGAGCAAAACAATGAGGATTTCAACTATTTCACACGATAGCTTGAGGTAGGGCAAGAACAGAATCTGAATAAAACAATCCTAATATATAAAGATGTATTTTCGGTCCAGACTTGTGATTTCTTCTGTATTTGGAACTCCCAATATGCAGGCTCCATTCATTGCTACAGATAAGCCATTTACGTTAAAATTATCTTTGAAAGTTGAATGAGAAATTGAAAGGTTAACTGATTTTCCCATAGTGACATAGCTAATACATATCGGAGGCAGGATTTGAAACTAGGTTTTCCTGGATCCTAAGCAAGCCTCTAACGACTGATTTGAATGAGCCAGAGAAATGGGGCTTCCTTTGCCAGTGAAATGGGACTCTCTAAGGGCGATAAGCCACGATCCCTTCCTGAGTCTAGGAATCACATAAGAGCTTCTATTCATGAATGGCCCTGGAAGTTTGCCAGATTCATTCATCCCAAAGGATGGCATTATGTTAGAACATGGACAAAAGTTGACAATTGCAGGTACTTTTTGACATTCTATGTGAGAGTGGGATGGGGACACACACAGAGCACCTTGAATCAGAATGAATCATCCTTATTCACTGAAGGGCTACTGTTGGATAACAAAGGGCACCAGGGATTATTCTGTGCATTTTAGCAAAAGGGGCCTAGCTGGAAAGAGATGATGTCCCTGTGAAGAGTGACAAATGCTATAAACCCATGTCACATAACCTGGAAAATGCATGAAGAGGAATCCCTTCTCTGCACAAGGCAAAAGATAAGGAGATCTGACAGGTGTATCCAAGTGACCTTAGACAAGGGATGCAGAATAAACAAAAATTACTGGTGCTCTCATTGCTCTTATCAGAAAATTTAAAGTGGGTCACCTTTATATCAAGTCTGAAACATACTGTAGACAAGGGATGGCCAAGGAGGACCACCAAGAAGATTTTTCTTCTTATATCTACCAGCTGATGGAATGAAAAAAGAATGTATAATTTTTAAAAATCTGGCTGATTATAAAAACTGAGTAACTAAATTCAAATTGGCTAATGGGAGCAAGCTTTTGATTAGTACTTTTTATTTATTTAAACAACTTAGGGGCAGCTAGGTGGCACAGTAGATACAGCACTGGCTCTGGAGTCAGGAAGACCTGAGTTCAAATCCAGCCTCAGACATTAATAACTGTGTGTCCCTGACCAAGTCACTTAATCCTGATTGCCTCACAAAAACCAAACCAAATGAAACAAACAAACAAACAAAAAAAACCCCCCAGCAACAACCACAACAACAATTTAAAGGGAGCTAGTGTGGCAGGGTAGGACAACTAGGTGGTGCAGTGGATAGAGCATTGAAGTCAGGAGGAAATGAATTCAAATCCAGCCTCAGACACTTACTAGCTGGGTGACTCTGGGCAAGTCATTTGACCTCGTTTGCCTCAGTTTTCTCATCTGTAGAATTATCTGGAGAAGGAAATGGCAAACCGCTCCAATATCTTGCCAAGAAAAACCCAAAATGAGGGCACAGGGAGTTGGACACAACTAAAACAACTCAACCACAAAAAGAAGTGTAGCATGGTGGATAGAGAGAGATGGTCTAGGAATCAGGAAGAACTGCTTTGAACTCACATTCCCACTTCGGACAGATACAGAAATGACTGGTTGCAGGATAGTGGTTCCCAGTGGGATTTGTTCTGTGAATCCCTTTCAACAACAACAACAACAACAACAAAAATGTGTTGTGAACTCCCAGGGTAATTTAATATACTACTTATAATAATCTTATGCTTAAGGTGCCATTAAAGATTTTTTAGCATGAATTCCTAGGACTATTATCGCAAAGGGTCTACAAACCATTAAATGAAAACCATTGGCATGGGAGACAAAACGCTGGACTTAGAATCTGGAAGATAAGAGTTCAAGTCCTGCCTCAGACACTTACTGGCTGTATGACCCTGGGCAAAGCACTTAAGCACTCATAGCCTCAGTTTGCTCATCTGTAAAAGGGGGAGGATAATAATAGCACACACCTCATAGGACTGTTTCAAGGATCAATGAGATAATATGCATAAAATGCTTCGCAAACCTTAAAGAGCTACATATGTCTTGTTACTGTTATTATCACTGTTGTTATACTGGCTATGTGACCATGGGTAAGTTAATCTCTAAGTGCCCTATCCTACTTTCTAAGATAGATTGTAGATGAAATGCTGATCTACCTAAGTGGAGAGATTTTCCAAACCAAACGTTTTCCACATAATGAAATAACAGATCCAGCCCTACCTGTAAAAACACAGGGAACTGGTTTTGGAATGAGAGAAGAAGGTATTTCAAAATAATCACTAAACACATATTAGGCAACAACTCTGTGCTAGGCACTGTGCTAAGGATACAAAGAAAGGTAAAACCAATTGTGTAGTCAATAAGCATTTATTAAGCACCGACTATGTGCTAGGTACTATGCTAAGTGCTGCGGTTACAAAGAAAGGGAAACTACAGTCCCTGCTCTCAAGGAGCTCCAGTCTAGTGGGGGAAACAACATGTAATTTCATATAATCTAAATTGAATATTACCTTAAATTTGACAAGGAAGAAGAATGATCAGAAAGTACTTCTTGGATTGTCTACAAAACAACAAAGGAAACATGTGAGTTTGATGCGTTATTTTAAAATGTTTTCAATTCAAGCAACATTAATTGCCTACAGAGGGTATATGGGAATCCACAGAAAAAACGAGATCCATCCCTGCACTGAAAGAGCTTCCCTTCTCCTGGAGATGCAATATGAACCTGAACATGGAACTCTAAGGTCATTTGGGGAGGAGGAGAACACTGCCACCTGGGAGGGGGGAAGTGGTGGGGAGGGGTGAAGCCTTGGGAATCAGGTAAGGCTTTAAAAAGAAGGGAACATCTGAGCCAAGTCTTGAAGGGAGATAAAGACTCGTTTTCACCTTGACTTATTAGCCAATGTTGATTAATATTTTCTAACCTTCCAAATCTGAGCTAGAGACTCTGGGTTAAAGACAAGTTTCTGCTTTGTGGGAGGAAAAATCAATTCTACCTGCATGTACTTCTCAGAAATGCTAACCAATATAGAAGCATCTCTCTCTCTCTCTCTCTTCACAAGGCATAGGATTCTTGGGCTTCACTTTCTCTGAAGGTCTGACAAAAGCATACGCTAAAAACTAATGTGTTTTTGTTGCCCTTTTCCAGCTATTTCTCTTCAAGTGTCTGGGCCACAATAGCTTGTCTAATCCTTATCCTGGGTATTAAATCATTCAGTCCTTCCTCCTAAAGTCAGCACTGTAGTCATGAGCAGTGATAACATATCACTTAACTATCAAATGTGAAGCTTTCCTTCAAAAGACCTCACATTATTAGTAATATATTTACATATGTATGTGTAGATATACAAAGTGCCATCGTATGTATACAGACACACTTGTGTACATGCAATATACATAATACACATGTGCACACACTTGCATGTATATATGTATGTGTATATTATATACATTGGTCTTTTTCTGACCTAATAACATTTAAGTTCACATTCTTCCTTTTTCCCTGGAGGAATGTCCTCTTTCCTGTGGAATGCGTATGTATCTATAACAAATCACAGTCACTCCTTGGGTATGTATTGACAGATATGCCTACGTTCTAGTCACACCTATGATACACAATCAGCTATACAATAATGTGAACAGGCAAATTTACCTCAACAAAGTTCAAGAGCTTCTCAGTTGTGAGTTCGAAGCTTTTCCGAGCTGTTTCTGACTTCCGCAATTGGCAGTCCAACACTGTGATTCTCTTCCTTAAGTCTTGAAAACTTTCCTGGTGAGAAGACCCAGAAAGCAAGGGCTTAAGCATTTCTGTGCTGTGCTATCAGCAGCTCCTCATTTCTCATATTTTTAGCTGTTACTGATAGCAAAAATCTCCGTAGAATTCCTTTTCCTCTGTCTTAGCTGGGCACTCATCCAATGAGAGACGGTGGTACAGGAGAATGAATATTGAACTAGGAAGAAGGAAGCTGTTGTTGTTCAATCGTTTTTCAGTCGTGTCTGACTCCCATGTGAAGTATTCTTGGCAAAGATGCTGCAGTGGTTTGATAGCTCCTTGTCTAGCTCATTTGACAGATGAGGAAACTGAGGCAAATGGGGGTAAGTGACTTGCCCAGGGTCACACAGCTAGTAAGTGAGGCTAGATTTGAACTCATGAAGATGGGTCTTCCTGACTTCAGGTCCAGCACTCTATCCACTGCACCCACCCAGCTGCCCCTATCCAGTAAGGAAGACCTAGCCTAAAACCCTACTTTCTGCGCTTACTACTTATGAGACCTTGGGTTGGTTATTATTCTTCTGTGGGCCTCAGTTTTCTCCTCTATAAAAATGGGGTCTTAACTAGATGAACTCTAAGGTCCCTTTTAGCCATAAATCTATGACTTTATCAATTAATCAACAGATATTTGTATTAAGCCAGGCACAGCTCTGGGTACACAAATATTGGGGAAAAAAATCCCTACTCTGAAGAAGCTTATATTTCCATTGGGAGAGACAAGAACATATATAAGTACACCCAAAATAAATACAAAGGGAGTGGAGATAGGGCTGGACCTGTGATTTAACACATATAAGGAATTTCAGAGGAGGAAAATTCCTCTGTCAAAGAAGGTCACCATCTTTTCTGCCTCTTAACAGTCTTAGTTGCCTGGAACACCAAGAGGTTTAAGTAACTTGCCCAGGATCACAGAGCCATACACATGGTGAATGAATGAATGAATGAATGAACGATTTATTGAGTGCTTCCTATGTGCAAAGTACTGTGCTAAGCGACAAGGTTACAAATAGAAAAGACAGTCCTGGCTCTCCCTCACATTCTAATGGGGGAAGACAGCATGTATTTTAGTTTTCAGGTTTCAGTTACAAGTCAGTCAGCCAATAAACATTTATTAAATGCCTACTACATACCAGGGGGGAGCCATTACGTCACACAGCAGATAGAACACCAGGCCTGCAGTCAGGAAGACTCATCTTCCTGAGTTCAAATCTAGCCTCACACACTTAGCAGCTGCGTGACCCTGGGCAGGTCACTTAACCCTGTTTGCCTCACTTTCCTCATCTATAAAATGAGCTGGAGAAGGAAATGGCAAATTGCTCCAATATCTTTGCCAAGAAAACCCCAAACGGAGTCATGGAGAGTCAGGCATGACTGAAAACGACTCAACAAGGAGGTACTGGTAATGATATAGCTATACCTTGTGTTCATTGTTTAGCACTTTGATGTCCCAAGAGATCATTATGAACAATGTCTTGAGGATAAGCAGGTATCTTCTTAATTAATGAATTGATGATATTGCTATGACATGGAAAAGGAGAATTTATCTTAGGAAGGAGAAAGGCTAAGGAATGCCTCAAAGAATCCAAACCTTGAAATAAAACATTCATTGGTTTTGACTCAACTCTTTCTAAAAGTTATTGATCTTGAAAAAGGATAAAGTTCTATAAAAACTTTCCATTTTCATTAAAATAAAGCATGATAACTAGAGAGAGGCGCTGTGGTGTGATGGATGGAGAAATGGCCTTGGAAGCAGAAAGTTCTGCCACTGTGCTTCTCATACATGCTGCTTATACGGCACTGGGCACATCACTTAACCTGTCAGTGTTCTAGTCTAGGCAAGGGCAGGGGAGGTGTCAACCAGCAGAGGTAGAAGGAATTTATATATACACCAATAAAATCACAAGGTCCAGCTCTTAGACCTACAATTACCAGAAAACTATAATATACATTTTCTTTTTAAAAGTACAGATTTTATGACTGAACCCTTTTTGAGAAAAAAAAAGGAAGATAAAAATAATTTTAATAGTTTAGTTTAATAAATTCCTATCATTTTGATAGTAAAAAAATTGAATATGTGATTAAAATTACTCATTTTAAGTGGGCATTACACTATTTCTAGAAGGAAGCTGTTGTCTACTTAATATCAGATTTATTAAATATGCACAATTACTGATACTTTTACTACTATAGATTTCCTTCCTTAGCTTTAAGCTATTATCAAAAGGCAGAATATATTCTTTGAGCACTATATTAAACGGACAACTCCTATAGTATCTTTTAAGAAAATTAGTTCTGTAAATGCTGGTTTGAGTTTTGGGAAATTCAAGTTATATGGCCCCTTTGGGTATATTTTAAATGTATAAAGTTTAAAGTAAGTATTTAATAAATGATTAGAATTGATGTGGTCTCTAGGAAGTTAATAAACCTGGAGTAAAAAGCACCCACTTTGTAAGTAAGCAGTTCCATAAAGTTTAAAACATCTATTTTTATTAAAATAGCCTTGCAACTCTCTACTCTATAATAAAACATGTATGTTAACTCCATCTTCAAATTATATTGAATGGAGTCAATCTCGGATCATAGATTTAGAGTTGGAGGGAACGTTGGAGGCATTTAGTGCAAACCTCTTAATTTTATAGATGAGAAAACAGAAATCCAGAGAGGTTGTGACTTGCTCCAGGTCACACGGGTAGTAAGCAGTAGATCTTGAGCCTTGAATCTGGGTCATAAAATGACAAGATCATAGATTTAAATCTGGCAAGGACATTAAAAATCTACTAGTCCAAAACCCTCATTTTACAGATGAGGAAAATGAGGCAAGGAGAGGGTAAAGTGATTTGTCTAAGGTCACGCCATCTAGTAAATAGCAGGGCTTGGATTTGAACTCAGGTCCTCTGTCTCTAAATTCAACATACTTTCCCCTGCATCACACTGCCTACCTGTCACATAAAAAAATAACTGGTTCAAATTCTGTTCCGTGAGATATGTATATCATCTTATTTTGTTGCTAAAAAGAAACTTGGTTAAAACATAACATGGTACCCTTTAAATTTGGAATGAAGTTATGGGGATGATTAATTTCAAAACAAACATTACTTAAGGACAGGTCTTTCATTGCTTGAATCTATTACCTTCAAACATTATATTCTTTGTTTTTTAAATTCAAGAAAAATAAACTAGGATTCCCAGAAAAGGCCATCACTGCCTGCAATTCAGTGTTAATGTAATCCTTCTAGAAGTGAGGGTATGACCTATGACCCATTGACCGATGACCCAAATAAATATGGGGCTCCTGCTCTTCTTAACCCAAAGATCTCTGGAGAAAGGAAGACTTGTGACCTTCTTATTACTTCTTTCATGACACATCATTCCAGTTATTGAAAAAAAAAAAGACAAACACTGACCTACTTTAGAAGAGCAGATGAAAAGAAAATGAAAACAGGATATATGACAACAGAATGGAAACCATGGTAACTATGAGAAGGAGGGAGGGGGAAAGAGAGGGGGAGAGTGAGAGACAGAGAGAGGGATGGGGAGAGAGAAAGGGAGAAAAAAGAGAGGGAGAGAGAGAGATGGAGGTAGAAAGAAACAGAAAGGGAGAAAGAGAGAAGGAGAAAGAGGGAGAGAGGAGATGAGAGAGAGAAGGAAGAAAGGAGAGAATGAGAGAGAGCAACAGAGAGAGAGAAAGTGAGAAGGGAAGAAGGAAAGAGAGAGAAGGAGAGAAAGAGTGGGAAGGAAGGGAGGGAGAAGGGAAAGAGAGAGAGAGGGAGAGTGCTGTTTTGCTTACTTTGCTCTGGCCAGAGTGATCAGCGAGCTGAGCCTTCAGCTCCATAATTTCAGCCTCTAATAAGCGAATTACTTCCTCATAGTCCATTTCCATTCCATGGGCCTGCCTCTGTGCTGCTTCGGCAAGATGAAGCCTGCTTCTCAAGGCTCTTGTTTCTTCTACAATGGCTTTAGCTTCCTGGACACAACAAAATAGATTTCATTTTAAAACATCACTCAAACAAAACTCCCTGTAGTGGGGGAGGGGGGAAATGAGGTTAACCAAAATTTTACTCTTTAGCTTCCAACGTGAGCAAGTGGATGATTATAACAGGAGACAATTCACTAGCACATCAATAGTCACCTTGATGAATGATGCTAGATGCCACATGACATTTTTCTTCCTTAGGGAGAATACTGCAAACTTGGATCACATATAGCCTTATGAGACAAAGCATATTTTAATGGCCAGAGAACCAGCTATGGAATCATGAAGAACTAGAGTCAAGTTCAGCCTTTGACACGGATGGGATGTGTGACCTTGGACGAGTTACTGAACTTACTTGTCAGTGCCCCTTGACAACCTTTTAAGACTATTAATTACAGAGGAAGTGCTAATCTATAATGGTAGCAGGAGTTCCCATGCCAGGAATACCCTAGTCATCAAATCACAAGATAGATCTGGAGCATGTCACTTTATGTAGCCGACATTAATATTCTGAAAATATAAAGAAGAGGAGAGAACAGAAAAGGAAAACATATGGGTGACAGATGGTTTGGAGGGGATAAAAGTGGGTAATAGTAAAAAGAAATGCAGGGTAAGGGGGTTAGATCTTAGCCCCTGGTGGATCCTAAGGCTTCATCACCTCATGGAGCAATAACCTTCTTGATGGTCTCGTTCCGTCTTAAGTTTTTTTCCAACTCTAGTTCATCTTCCTCTCAGCTGTCAAATTGACCTTTCTAAAATACAAGTCTGACCATATCCTACTCCTACTCAATAACTTCTAATGGTACCCTATCATTTCTGACGGGAAAAAAAAAAAGCTCTGTCTGGCTTTCAAAGCCCTTCCTAACCCGGCCCCCTCATACTTTTCCAGTCTTCTTACAACTTATTCACCTCAACGTTCTCTGCATTTTAGTGATACTGGCTTCACTACTCTTCCTCATACATGTCAAACCATCTCCTGACTCTCGGCATTTTCAGTGGCTGTCCCCTATGCCCAAAATTCTTTCCCTCCTTAACTTCTACAGGCCTCCTTGGCTTCTCTTAAGTCTCAGCTAAAATCCCACCTTCATCAAGAAGCCTTCCCCATTCCTCCTCAACTTTGGCGCATTCTTTCTGAGATCATCTCGCATCTATCCTGTCTATGTCTATACATAATTTTTATATGCTGCTCATATTAGAATATGAGTACCTTGGGAGCTGGGACTGTTGTTTGTCTTTTTTTTTTTTATCTCTAACACTTAGCACAGCATCTGGCATATAGCTAGGAGCTTAATAAATGCTTATCGATTCACTAATTTGGGTCAGTGCTTTCCTATAGACTTGGCTGTCTTTCCTTTGGGGGGGGGTAATAAAAAAGTGGATTCCAGTAGTAAAATCTGGATCTTCTACATAATCCAAAGCCATGACCATAAAAGACTTCTAACATTTAAAATTGTATTAAAGTGTAAAGTATACGAAAGATAATTTAGGGTATTGAAGGATGTTTAACCCTTTTTGGGAAATGCTGGGGAAGACAAATCATACTCTTCTACAAATCACCTCTTGGTGCCTCTATCAAAGAGAGCATCTTGGGCTGCATGGACCACTTTTCAGACCTAATTCCAGATTCTTCCTATTTTTTCCCCCTTATTTGATGCAAGAACATACTGTTCTTTATGGAATCGGATTATCTGCTCTAACTCCATCCACAAAACATTTATTAAGTGCCAATTAAGGTATTACAATAGGTACTAGAGTTATAAAGACAAAATCAATTAATCAGAAATATTTATTAAGCTCTTACTCCATGTCAGGCACTGTGCTAGATATGGTGATACAACTACAAAGAAACAAAATAATCCCCACTCTAAAGCAGCTTACATTCTACTGGAGGTGACAACAATGACATATATCTGTATTTACAGAACAAATAATTGCAGAATAAATTTGAAATAAATATAAGGCACTTAAATGAAAGGTAATTAGGGGAAAGCATGATAGGATTGCGGGGGGAGGGAGGGAGAATCAGAAAAGGCTTCATGTAGAAGGTAGTGCTTGAGCTGTGTCTTAAAGAAAGTTAGGCATTCTATGAAGCAGAGATTAGGAAAGAGCACATCCCAGATATGAGGGACAGCTAAGAGACTGGAGTGCTATATGTGAGCCGTGTAGACTGCAGGAAGTAGAATAATGTATAAGATGGCCTGAATGATAGGTTGGGCTCAAGTTATAGTGGGTTTATAAGCCAAACAAAAGAATTTATATTTTATTCTGGAGGTTATAAGGGAACCACTGGAATTTATCGAGTAGGGGAATGAAATGGTCAGATCTGCATTTATATATTCTGGTAGTTGTTTGGAGGATGGGTTGGAGACTTGAAGCAGGGAGACCAATTAGAAAGCCACAGCAAGAGCTGAAGAGAGAGGTGATAAAGGCCTGAACTGAGATCATGACTACATGAACAGTGAGAAGAGGACACATATGACAGATGTTATAAACTAGTATATAGCAACATTTGGTGACTGATGGGTTATGGGGGATGATGGAGAGTGAGAAGCAGAAGACAATATCAGTTACAAACTTGAAGACTGGAAGAATGGTGGTACCCTCAACAGAAATAGCAAAATCCAGGAGAAGGGAGGGTTTTGGGGAAAAGGAAAACAAGTTCTGTTTTGTACATGTTGAGTATAAGAAGTCTCTGGGACATGCAGTTTGAAACGTTCCACAGGTAATGTAGGACTAATGCTCAGGAAAGAGATTTTAGCTGAAGATACAGATTTGGGAGTCATCTGCATAGACATGATAATTTAGCCCATAAGACCTAATGAGGTCATCAAATAAAATATAGAGACAGAAGAGGGCCCTAAACAGAGCCTTAGAGTACATATTCTTGGTTAGATGTGACATGTATGATGATAATGCAGCAAAAAAGACGAAGGAGGAATCATCATATAGAGGAGGTCATAGAGAACCCAGAGAAGAGAGTATAGAGAAGACATATAGAGGTAGTCAACACATAGCAGAAAGGTCAAGAATGAGGACTGAGAAAAGACCATCCAATATGGCAAGTAAGAAACTGCTAATAACTTTAGAGAAGGCAATTTCAGCAGAGTAATGAGATCAGAAGCCAGATTACAAATGGTTGACTAAGGGGACAGGAAGTAGAGGCAATGAATGCTCTTCCTTGCACAAGATATTCCATCTCCTAACTCTGGGAATCTTCATAGGCTGTCCTCTAAGCCTGGAATTTTCTCCAACTCGATGCTTTCCTGACTTCCTTCAGGTCCTAGCTAAAATCCCACCTTCCACAAGGGGAATTTTCAGATCCTCCTTAAAGCTAGTAATTATTTTCAATTTGTTCTGTTTATACATAGTTGTTTGCAAGCTGTCTCCCATTAGGCTGTGAGCTCCTTAAGAGTAGAGGCTGTTTGCCACATTGTACGATGACTGATATTGATAAACTTAACCTTCCCAGCCATACAAGGATCTAAGACATCTCCAGAGGCCTCATGATGGAAAATGCCATCCACATCCAAAGAAAGAACTATGAAAGTTGAATTGCTATTTTTTTCTCTTCTGTTGAGTTTTGTTTCCTCTTTCTGATGGTTCCTCCTATTGGTTTTAATTTTTACTTACAACACCACTAATGTGAAAATATGTTTAATAGGAATGTAAGTATATAGCCTATATCAGTTTGTGCACCGTCTTGGGGAGGGTGGGAGGGAGGAAGGGGGAGAAAAATTTTAAACTCAAAAGCATATGGAAGTGATTATTGATAAATCAAAAAAAAATTAATAAAATTTAAAAAAAATACAAAAATACGAAAAAAAAGAGTAGAGGCTGTTTTCTGCCTTAAAAAAAATGTATGTGTATATATATCTCCCTAGTGCCTAGCATATAGTAAGTGCTAAATAAATTTTTATAGACTTCTTGACTCTAGAGAGATTTTTTCCCCCCTAGCAATATAGCTGAGAAAGGAAGGAGAGGGATAGGACAATAACTTAAAGGAATGATGGAGTTTAATGAAGCTTTTTTTTTCCTTAAAGGATAAAAGAGATTCAGTCATATTTGAAGGCATCAGGGAAAAAAATGGTAGTCAGGGAAAGAGTGAAGATTAGAGAACAGGGTGATAATTGGGGATTCAGTTGGAGAAGATACACATGAGGGTTATATAACAAGATTTGCGTTTTAAGTAAGTCTTTTCCAACTATTTTCATTTTCTTGAGAGTTATCATCATATCATAAGATCCAGTGTTAGATGGGACCTTTGGGTTCATCTATTCCAAACCTTCATTTTATATATGAGGACAATGAAGTCAAGAGAAATAAAGTGACTTGCCCAAGGCCACACAGGTATCATGTAGAGGAGCTAGAATTTGAAGCCAAGTCTTGTAACCCCAAACGGCAGCTAGGTGGTGCAGTGGATAGAGTGCTAGGCCTGGAGTCAGGAAGACTCATCTTCTTGAGTTGAAATCCAGCCTCACTTACTAGCTGTGTGACTCTGGGTAAGTCACTTAACCCTGTTTGCCTCAATTTCATCACCTTCAAAATGAGCTGGAGAAGGAAACAGCAAACCCCTCCAGTATCTTTGCCAAGAAAATCCCAAATGGGGTCACAAAGAGTTGGACACAATTGAAATTGACAAAATAACAACTTGTAACTCCAAACCTGTTGTTTATAACAGGATACCACACTTTCTCCAGTGTAAGCCAAAAGCAACAAAGAATTTAAAAAGTATTGGTAAACAAATTTCTAGGAGTCAGCTTCTAATAGCGTTATGTTATTACCCATGAATATTTATTGAATTCTGACTATAGCTAGGGAACTATGCTAGATATTAGGTACATAAGGAGGTATGACATGATCTCCTTCTTTAAGGCAGTTATAATTTAGTTGAGGAAATAAGACAGACAAAAATATAAATCATAAAACAAGGCAGCAAATATTATGTGCCAAAGCAAATAACATATATATAATAGGACTCATGGTAGGAAGGG